ATTAGGAAATAAATATAAATTATGCCTCTTTCATTTTAGAATGAACACAAAATATAACATGAAAACATAAATGTTTAGACTAAACAACTTAAATCTCATAACATTATACATGTTATATATTTATTATTTTTATTTTATTGACCTTTCAGCCATGTTTGGCTAACAGTACAGAAGCTACAATGATGTGCTGTATGTGCACTCATGTTACTGTATCCAATAATATAAAACTGACCTTTAGTCTTTACAAAGTGACCTGTCTTGGCTGTATTTTAGTGGACTAGTATTTTGTAAAATACAGCCACATTTCAATTATTATACATTATATATGTATATAGATTGTTGCTATTTTGAAATAAGTTCTTAAACTCATTTTTCTTAAAACATGGAACAGTAAGTAAAGAAGTAAAGCAAACAATTATCTGTTCTAGTTATGACCTTTGTACTCAGTTGCTGCAGGTTGCTAAGCCTTTAAAAATTTTGCACTTGGAGGATATGAAATAAAATATTTTTTTAGGTTCTATATATACAGTTGAATAACCAAAAAATCATAAATTAGTACCATAGAATTCCACTATAATTTATCAAGCTTAGTAACTAAGCTGTATCTTAGTCTTAAAAAATATGAAATTTTGAGCAGACTAAAGACATACCGTACCTCGTTGAAATATTGGTTCAAAAGAAAGAAATGTTGCCCAGCCTTTTAAAATGGCTGAGAAAGCCTTTAGGGAACATTCTGAGTTTCCGATTGGTTATTCATGTCATATATAGAAGTAAGTGTATATAAGGGAGAGTTTCCACAAATGGAAAGAAGTGGATGGGGTACCATTGTGTTTGATTTATTATGTTTTATTACATGAGCAATATCTTAGCAAATTAAAAACATAAGTGTCTCTTATTTTATATTTTAGCTGGTCAATATTGGTAATTTGAATTTCTATAGACTTAGTATTTTGACATCAGAAACATTTAATTTGGACCTGTGCTGCATGTGTTCTTTAATATTTGCTTTTAAATTAAGAAATTGAGTAATATATATAGTACTACAGTTTGCATTATAATTTACAGTTTGATGCCAAAGTTATTGTCATAAATTCATGAAACAGTTGTTCAATACAATTTTGAATGCAAGTCAACAAATAAGATGACATGGCCTTTCACCTGTGACCCGTCTCAAAAGGGTTAAATACATGCATTATCATTTTTCTCATTCCTGATGCATAGGAGTGGAATATAGAGGAGCTCATAGCTTGGATAACTTCTGTAAATCTCACTCTCACATTGGGGGGAGATTATTAATTCATTGGGAATCCAAGTTTGAAAAGGAAATAAAGAAGAAACAGGATATGAAGTAGGGAAGATAATCATCAGTTGAACTGATATAAAGTTAACAAATCCACAAGTAAGTGGATCTGAACAAAGGATTAATATTTGTTATAATGCCAAAAGGAATTGTTTGTTCAAAGAGTAAAAAGTGATTTCAAAGAACTAAATAGAAATTCAGTCATCATAAATAACCAAGCAACAGCAAGTAATAAAAAAAATTCTCTCGAAAATGTTTATACAAATCTTGGTGAGCTTCTTCCAATCAGCTGTTTACGCTTCTCGTCTGGCCCACTATAATAAGCGATCAACTATCACGAGCAGGGAGATCCAGACTATAATAAGCATTAGCACATCCTTTCCTACCATATTTCGGATGTCAGGTTCCCCGGATGACTGATGTTGGTTGTGGATTTGTACACGTGCCCTGTTTAGCTGACCAGTATGGAATTTTTCCCCTTTCGTTCAACTCAACTCGAGGTGAAGATGGTGTGGATTCATGGGTTGGATTATGTATTATGCCTGATGCTGTATGGTTTTGGACTGAAGTTGACTTGCTGAGTACAGTCTGATTCACTCTAGCCACTCTGCACCAAGGAACACATCCATTTTAGCTTTTCCCACCATCTGATCCGTAGCTGAGGATCCCACATTCATTCTTATCTTTGACCACTATTTCGATGACTCCAATGGGATGTGGGGTTGGAACCACTCAAATTTTTTCTCTCATTGATTGGATGTGCTCTTTCCAATTTCTGCCAGTTTATGCAACATCTAATACCACACTAGATGAAAAGTATACCTGGTACAGAAGTGGTGCAGTCTCCGAATGATGGTTCACACTCTAGGGTATTCTTTGGATGCTTATCTATATTCCTTGTACCAGTCCCTCCACCTTTTAAAGGTGGGATTCTAGCTATCATATGAATGGAAATAAGGTACTGTATTGGAAGTTATTATTTTCCTACACTGAAAATATATTTCCAATAGTTACTTACCTCGTCTCACACTTCCCACCTTTTCTTGCCACTTATTACCAGTTGTTACTTTCTGCCTAGTCTCTAAGTGATGGTTAAGTAGAGGGATTCATGTGCATCAGGAGGGTATGTTGCACTGCTGTTGGTGGAGGGTTGTAGCATGTAAGTCAGTGAAACATTTTGTAGGTGGGAGTTTCAAGGCTTATGGCATGAGAAAAGATTTTGCATATAGAGGTCAGCACGGAACAAGAATAGCTATTATATTAGAAGAGATAAGTACCTATCAGAAATATATTTTCAGTGTAGGAAAATATTTTTTTATTATGTGTGTATCTGTAACAACTTTTGTTTTTAATTGAAAGTGTTGTATATGTTGCCTAGTTTGTATAATTCTCCAGGTGTCTATAGTGCCTTTTTGTGTTGTTGTTTCAAAGACTTGACTAGCTAAAGAATTGTCTGCCATGCTAGGATACCTTGGAATATATTTGACAATAAAATACTAATGTTGTGTTTACAGAGAATTTGTTTTTTCACTTCTATAATTGTAGTTTAAGTTTTCTTTCCATTTTGTATCTCTTATATGATCCTTTACTATCTGTTTTGTTTTATTTTAGAATACCGTTATTAGGATAAAGAATGAGCAGACAAATCAGTTGTCAAGACCTGAAACTCTTTCCAATCTCAGTGAGAGTGATGATGATGATATTCCAAGAGTTACAAAGAAAGAAGTGGAATGTACAGGACAGTCTCAATATGTTGATGAGTCAGATGCTACATCTTGTGAGTTCATATATCTTCTTGGAAAACAATGTAAATTAGTAGAAAAGCTTAGCAAAACCTTTGGTCAAACTTCTTTGGGTTTTATCAGCAATATTATAGAATTCATAGGACACAAACTGTTTAAAGAAATACTGTGATAAAAGCTCATAGAAGATGTTCTAGTAACACAGAATGCAATTGGATAATGACAAAAGTAAAGAAATAGAGACAAAAGCCACTAAGAAGCTGAAGCATTGATTCTGTAACCCATTCACAACAGGCATTCTTTACTGCACATGAAACGAGGATTTAGTTACATTAAAAATTAATTAAGCTATTTTTTGTGTGTGTTATACCAATTAGTATAGCATAAAATCATAGCTAATAATCCACATTTTAATAGTATATAAGTTTGAAGTTCTTCACTTTATAAGGCATTATTTAAAAAAATTCTGAATTTCCCTTAGTGTGAGAAATGTGACATTTTTTCTCTGGGCATCTCCTCTTCTCTAATTTATTCATCACCCTTCCAATAAGTATGCAGTTACTCACTATAAAATCTTCATTGCTCAGACAAACCATAATTTTAATAGCCTTCAATCTTGTTATAGATCCATCAAATAGAAAATCAGACCCCTCTTGCCACACCCACCAGTCAAATCCTCTCTTTTTAATTTTTTTCTCTTAAGTTTAATATTATATTATTTATAAGCAATAGAAAGCCAAGGTTTTCATCTATCAAATGCCATATTATAGTATATTGTTTTCTGAACATTGAATTGTCAATTTCTCTATTAGTACAAGCTTCGTTCCCACAGGAAAGATATCAACTAGCGTGGATGAATTTGTAACAGCTCTTGTCACATAGTTAGAATGACAAAAAAATTGTAATTATTATGGGACATTGTCTACTTTTTCATGTTGTTATTCTATGTTTTTTGGTGCATTATTTAGTCAAATAAAAATTATTTAGTGGATTACTACCATTATTATGAAAAAGTAGGATTATGTGTCATCGACAGTTGGCACCAAACAAAGAAGTAAGTTCTTTATTTCTTGTTTTTCATGTTTATTATTATTATGAAAGAAGCTAAAATGTAAAAATAAGTGCAAATGTGTGTATGGACTCGGTATTTTATACCTAGCTCGTTGTGAAAAGGTTCATACTTGTAAAAGATGTGTTCAGAGGAAAATGAAGTTTCACAATAAAAAAGATAATGATTCTTAAAACAAACAACATTTTTTATTTATAACAGAATGGACAGAGGTAACTCTTTCAGAATTCTACAGATTCCATCTTCAGTATCTAAAGCAAAATAAAATAATTACATCATTCCTAAATAAATAACTAAAATACATTACTGCAATAATGATAATTTAATCAAAACTAAAACACAGAAAGTGAAGGAGTAATGAACGAAATACTGTACGTATTAAAAAATGTGCAATTTAAAAGAAGACTGCATGTTATTCAATGTTGGTGAAAGTTATTTGATGTGGAGAATTTCTTTAATCAGTAATTTCAGGTCAGTGTTAGCCTTGCAAAAGATATTGGATTTGATAAGTTTGTGTTCTGTTTCTTCACTATGTTGGCATATAGAGAAAGCACAGGGGTAGCTCAACCTTCTTGTGGAAGTTCCCTTGGCTCTAAGTAGTAGGTGGCATTTGGTAAACAAAGCTTAACTTTAAAAAGTCAAATTGAATTCATAATTCATCATTACTATCTCCAAGCGATTTCAGTTTTTAAACCCACATCACGGATACAGGATTTTTTCCGTAATAAAGACCTTCCTTCAACTTCTCTTCAGATTAGTTTTTAAACCCACATCACGGATACAGGATTTTTTCCGTAATAAAGACCTTCCTTCAACTTCTCTTCAGATTAGTTTTTAAACCCACATCACGGATACAGGATTTTTTCCGTAATAAAGACCTTCCTTCAACTTCTCTTTGTTCATGACTTGTATATTTTACACATGTGGATACTGTAAGGCCTTCTATAAATATCATCTACTAGTTAGAGCCAATTAATATATGGGGATTTCCATGATAATGCAGAAAAAGTTGAGTAATCCCTGTGCTTCCTCTATATGCCAACATAGTGAAGAAACAGGACACAAACTTATCAAATTTCCCAGGCTAACACTGATCTGAAATTACTAATCAAATAAACTCCCCACATCAAACAACTTTCACCAACACTGAATAATTTGCAGTCTTTTTTTAAATTGCACATTTGTAGTCACAACATAGTGGCTCATAGAATGGCTTAGTTTGTGTTTTGTTTTTTCAAGTACAAACTTTTAGCTCATTGCTCCATCATCTTTTGACCAATTTGAGATCTAATTACAATTTTGGACTCAGGAGGTCAAACCCTTTCGATTGATATATTTGACTCTGCCAAAGGTCTCATTGATTAGTTTACTCTAATCCTGCTTAAAAGAATTTCAATTTGAGGGTAGGCAGGTAGAGATCAGATCCTGAGAAGTAATAACATCGAATCTGGTATATGTGTGCCTCATGCTTGGTATTGTTGGTGCAGAAAACATAGCTAATAAAAACGGGAAAAAAGGTCTCAGATTAGTTTATTCTAATCATGCCTAAAAGAATTAAGTGCAACGGTTATTGAGGATTCCCTCTTGTTTATTATTTACAGTATTTTGTTTGTTACTCCTGCACATTCTATATGTTTTAATTTTGATTAAATTATTGTTATTGCAGCAATGTTTTAGTTATTTACTTGGGAATGATGTAATTTGTTTATTTTGCTTTAGACACTGAAGATGGAATCTGTAGTATTTTGAAATGTTTATCTGTGGACTTCTGATGTATATAAACAGTGTTATCTTAAGTATCATTACCCTTTGTACTTGTAAAAGGTTTCTCCAATTAGTTGACTTCCTTCTAAATGGAATGTAAATAGTCATGAACTTGCATTCATACTAATCTGGGCTTTGGTCACCTACCAAAGTAGCCATCACATTGCTCTTTTACACAACTTCTCTGTATTGTAGATTGTGCCCAAGAAGAAGGGTGATATAGGGATGTGTACAAGTTAGTATGAGGTGGAAGTTAAATCTTCCCTTGAATATGTACAATAAGAATGATCATTACTTAGGTAAACTAGGATCATGGGATACCAAACTAGGACTTTGGTATGACTTAACACTGTAATATAGACACAATCCTGCAGTCTCTTCCGTAGTAAAGATATGTTATGCCATCACTCCAATGGTCAGGTTGTTTCTTTCAAATACTTGCACAAAACAAGAGAAATTTTAATACATGCTGACAAAATTTGCTGGCTCTAATGAAACAAACATGGACAGCAAAGGAAAATTTTATTCATTTGCAAATAAGCTTATTTTTTTAGTCCTTCCATTATTGCAATACTTACCTGTTAGTCCTTGTTTACCTACAAATACCACAACCGTCCATTATATCTTTTAAAACCATTTACTTAACCTAGAAAATCTCCGCTAGATGCACTTGTATTCTAATCTTTTTTATTGTCCTCTTAAAACTCTTCTTGATGTTTTGCGATGTCATCCAATTGAGCCTATATCTACTATATCCGGCAAACCCCTTCCAGAATATATTTTAACATTTATCACTACTAACAGCATTCTTTAAATTCTGAAAATCTCTCTCCTCTATATTTTCTAACACCATCATGCATACTTTGAAATTGAAAACTCCAATATTAATTTGTTCTAATAACCTTTACTTTACGTCATAAACCTTTCTTATAGGTGTGGTAGAGCAACATTCACTGAATTATGCACACTCCTTTTCTGATTCTGTCTTTTGTAGTCTACAGATTGGTTGTTGGAGGTTTGTTCAAATCATGGACTTTACATTGTATACTGCTTTCCTGTTGTTACATCTGTATAAGCCTACTGCCTTGCTGTGTTCTGTCACTCAACTAGAAACTCATTTGGATATAACTTTACTATCCAGTTTACCTAGAGGCTTTCCATTAGAGCGTACGTTGAGTCTTTACAAAGTTTCCTTCTTGGATGTTTTATAACATTAACAACTTTACCATATAAATCCCTCTAGAAATTCTTCGTGTGTTCTAAGACCAAGTTCTTTAATCTAGATACACTGTTATACATGTTGTCTTCCTTCATCCATTCATATAGTCAAACTTACTGGGTCTGTATTGAAATCATCAAGTTTTTAGTCTGCAAACTGTGTACTGAATGTATTTTAACAGCAGTCATATTACACTGCAACTCTTAACCCTAGAACTTTCTTTTTCAGGTCCACCTTTAGAGAGTGCTCGGGTTATAGAGGATCATATTTTTGTGTTAAATTGATTTCTTGAACTTGTGTGTTTTCCTAATATGAACTCTGCAAACTCTACTTTGTATTTATTTTATCCAGAAAACACTCACTAACTGTTATTGTAAGCTTTAAAACTACTACAGATACATCCCAATATGCATCCAGACTTATTTTATGACAGTCCTTTATAGAATTTATTACAGTAGCTTATTACTGTGTGTGTATTATTTATAGCAGTAATTCTGTTTTTTGGCTGTAGATGTAAAGATTCCCATGAACTTGCAGGAAACTTCCCATGACGGAGGAGCTCAGCCTGGTCCTGTAGGTGATATATCTAGTGGTTGTAATGTCTGTGAAGAGAACCTTATTCGGGAGGAACATTTGACGAACAAACAGAGGATTTTCAGTGGATACAATATGGGATATGAGGGTAACTGTGTAGAAAATTCACTGTATGAGACATTTAATACCTGTCAGAAAATATCGTACAATTGTGGTGTCTATGGGAAAAAACTTAAACAAAGTTTGTCTCGAAAGGTGCATCAGACTAATCGCTTTCGGAAAAAAGTGCACAGGTGTGGGGAGTGTGGAAAGGAATTTACTCACATTTCATTTCTGAGAATGCATCAGACTGTCCACAGGAGAAACAAAGAACACAGATGTGATGTATGTGGTAAATTATTTGCGTGTAAAACGTACATTAAACTACATCAAAGGACTCACACTGGGGAGAAACCTTTCAGTTGCGGTGGTTGTGACAAGAAATTTACACACAGCTCATCTCTAAAAATGCATCAGACTGTTCACAGTGTTGACAAACCATATATTTGTCTAATGTGTGGGAAATTATTTGCAAGACAAAACTACTTATTACAACATAAGAAAATACACTCTGTAGAAAAACCATACACTTGTAGTTTGTGTGGTAAAGAGTTTGCTAGAAAAAACTACCTAGTGCATCATGAAATGATCCACACTGGAGAAAAGCCGTATAATTGTAGCGTCTGCGGCAAAACATTTAGAAGAGAACATCACTTAAAACGACATCGAGAGATCCATAATGGAGAGAAAGCATACAGTTGTAGTGTTTGTGACAAAAGTTTTACTTGTACTTCATCTCTTAAAAAACATAAAATTATTCACAACAGAGAAACATTATGCAAATCTGAAGTCTGTGATGGACCATTTACACTGGAAGATAAGTTAACTCAACATCAAATGATTCACAATGAAGAGAGGTCTCATAGTTGTAATATTTGTGGTGAAATATTTACCCTAGAACAACTCTTAAAACAGCATCAGGTAATCCATTTTGGGCTGATACCAGAAAATTGTGAATTGTCTGCTAATCTTCAACACAGTTCATCTCAAATTACTAGTGATGGAGATACATCATGCAGTTTTATATTGTGTGACAAAGAAAATGTTAGACAAAATCATTGGAAAGACAAGATGGAAAATTTATACAATTGTGATGTGTGTGGTAAAGCATATGCAAGTAAAAGTAACTTAAAACGACATCAGACAATCCATACTGTGAGGAAACTGCATACTTGTATAGTGTGTGGCAAAGAATTTACAAGAAATGTTACCTTAAAGAGACATCAGATTATACATACCGGGAAGAAACCATACAGTTGTGGTGTCTGTGGCAAAAACTTTACACAAAATTCTTCTGTAAAAAAACATCAATTAACTCACAGTGGAGAAAAACCGTATAATTGTGTGGTGTGCGGAAAAGTATTTGGAACAAAATGCAACTTACAGAGTCATCACCGAATACACACTGGGGAGAAACCTTATAGTTGTGATGTTTGTGGAAAGGAATTTACACAAAGTTCATCTCTAAAAAAGCATCGGATTTCCCACAGTGGAGATAAACCGTATAATTGTGTGGTGTGTGGTAAACTGTTTGGAACAAAATGTAACCTAAAAAAACATCTCAGAATACACACTGGGGAGAAACCGTACAGTTGTGATGTCTGTGGTAAGGAATTCACGCAGAGTTCATCGTTAAAAAAACATCAAAGGTGTCACAGTGGATGTAAACCATATAATTGTGTGGTGTGTGGCAAACTATTTGGAACAAAATGGAACTTACAAAAACATCACAGAATACACAGTGGAGAGAAACCATATAGTTGTAGTGTTTGTGGCAAGAAATTTTCTCAGAGTTCATCGCAAAAAAAACATCAACTTTCCCACAGTGGAGAAAAACCATACAGTTGTGTGGTGTGTGGCAAAATATTTGGAACAAAGTGGAACCTAAAAAAACATCACAGAATACACAGTGGAGAGAAACCATACATTTGTGATGTTTGTGGCAAGGAATTTACACAAAGTTCATCCTTGAAAATGCATCAAATTTCCCACAGTGGAGATAAACCATACAGGTGTATGGTGTGTGGTAAACTGTTTGGAACAAAATGTGATCTGAAAAAACATAACAGAATACACACTGGGGAAAAACCTTATAGTTGTGATGTTTGTGGTAAGGAATTTACACAAAGTTCATCGTTGAAAAAGCATCACATTTCTCACACTGGGGAGAAACCATATAATTGTGTTGTGTGTGGTAAACTGTTTGGGACAAAATGTAATCTAAAGAATCATCACCGGATACACACTGGGGAGAAACCTTATAATTGTGATGTCTGTGGCAAAGAATTTACTTACAATTCATCTCTAAAAATTCACCAAATTATCCACAGTAGAAAAAAGAAAAATATTTTTCTAGATGTAAATAAAAATATTAATCTTTTAGATACTTAAAAAACAACAACTATAATGTTGTATTTGGTATTTTTCAATGCTTTAATAACTATAATACTCCATGTAGCAACATGAGAAGACTATAGTAACAGTACATATGTTACCTGAATTTGCATCATACTATACATAATAATGTGTAATGTATCACCGGTAACTTACTAAACAAAAGTACAGTGTTCAATGTCAGTATTTATTAATGAAAATATCACTTTAATATAGCATCTTAACTACGAAATTGTTTTTAAAAAAAGCATTTCTGGAAATCAACTTTTATTGTTTATAATTTGCACCTGGCATAAGAAGTAACATTATACAATAAGTGCACCTAAATCAGTAAATTAAATAAAACATATTACACATGAATGTCAAGTTTATCAGAAACAAACAGTATCCTAAAGGTGCATTTATTGTATAATGTTACAAATCAATAAATTAAATAAAACATACTACATTAGGATACTGTTTGTTTCTGATAAACTTGATATTCATGTAACATTATAATGGAGTAGCACTAAGGTGAATAATGTTAATGAGTTGTGAAATTATCTCTATATTCTTAAGTTGTGCATTACTTTTAGATTACAATTACTAAAACTTCAACTACATGTTATTAAACACTCCAGTTATTTTTGTGAAGGAGGGGAATGTGTTGTAATCCTTTTATAGTTGTTCTTTAGCTTCAAGTAATCTTGTATTTCTCTTTGATAATTGAATCATAGATAGATACTCACAATGTGTTAGAATATACTAGCCAAGGTGCAAGTAAACTCCAGTTAACTAGTTAAGCATCAGGTTATTTAAACAGTAAGACATGTCAGGTAGTTTAAGTTTAGTAATAAAATGAAGTGGACTTGATGTCTTTGTGATTTCCCAAATTTAAAACACACTCCTCTAACTGATCACTTTGGAAAAGCAACAAGTTGAACATGTACAGAGTGTTTGGAAGAGTGTGTCTCATTTAGAACGGCTAAATATGGTAATCGGAAATTCTAAACAAGTTTTATGTAAAGAAAATGTCTGGTTATTAAATGTAAAAGTTATCATAACTATTAATTTTTATTTTGTTCTTGCCCCTCAGTTACATGGTTCTCCCATTTTGTTTACGGTTTGTAAGTGAATTTTCCCCAGTTTTTTTTTTTACAAATTTATGAAATGTAAGGTTTTATTATTTTTCAACAGAAAGTATAAATTGTGTTATGCATGCGTGTGTGTATATATATATAATTTACAATATATTTTTAGATTCTAATGATGACTTAAAAAAACCAAGGCTAACATTTAACCCACCAACAGTTCTTTAATTCTGTATTCTTGCATGAATTCTAGTTTTGTACTTTCCACAAGATTCACGACTTCTTCTATGCTCTGTATATGGGGTATGCTCAAATAAGCTTCTTCCAGTCAAAATGTCTTCGTTGTCAAAGGTCTCATCTATCGTTGTAACGTAGCCTCTTTCTCTTGTTTCAGGAATATATATATGCATTAAGAGTTACATTTCAGCTGCAAAGTAAACTTTACCACCTGATGTTATAGCGGTGAACACTTAGCAACTGTTGTATTTTTAATAATAGAACGGTTTCCTTTACTTTCTGAGCTAAACCCCAGGGTTTGATTCTCTGCTCTGGAAATTTTGTAGCTTTACTCTATAATAACACAACAACAACATTTAATTTCTGAGCATCCCAGCTCTCCAGCCCCAAGTCTCCACCACAGTGATGATGATGATGATGACGTGATATATATAGTTTTAATAAAATGTATTTGTATCCTATCCATAAATAAAAGAATATTATTGAAAAGTAACAGTTTGCTCATGAAAAAGAAAGGTCCACGTTTCAAAAGTGCTCGGGTTGTACAGTTTTTATTCATTTCTATCAAGATTTCTTGAACCTACGTGTTTTTCTATTATCGTGTTTGAAAAGTAGCATGTATTTTGAATTGTTTTTATTAAGTTTGTTATAGTCTGTCTTCTACTTTTGGTTATAATTATTCACACATACACGAGTATATACAACTGAAATTATAGTACTTTTCTAATATTTAGAAAGCATAAAAGAGTAAAATTAGTTAGAATTCAGAGCATAATAGCAATAGCTGATCATGCCAAAGAAGAAAATCATACAACAAAATGAGATAATACTAAAATAAAAGAAAAAATGAACCATACACGAGAAAAGGTCTTGTATAACCACCTAAACGATAACACTCTCAGTCAACCTAACATAGAAGTGAGCAAAACGTGGATATCTCTCTTGAAAACATCCGAATAGTTAGTTGATTTGGGTTCCTATTAGAAAAATCCCGGTCAAGTGGATAATACCCCAGGATCAAATTATGGCTATTATCAGCACAGAATCATCCCTTCTCAGGACTTTCCTGAATAGTTAGTTGATTTGGGTTCCTATTAGAAAAATCCCAGTCAAGTGGATAATACCCCAGGATCAAATTCTGGCTGTTATCAGCACAGAATCATCCCTTCTCAGGGCTTTCCTGAATAGTTAGTTGATTTGGGTTCCTATTAGAAAAATCCCAGTCAAGTGGATAATACCCCAGGATCAAAATCTGGCTGTTATCAGCACAGAATCATCCCTTTTCAGGACTTTCTTGAAGACTGAAATAGATTAGCAGCTGGAACTTAGAATAAGAAATCTAATTAATAATTAGTACCTAGTTATAGAATATATATAAATGTCCAAAGTAAATAATATATATATAATTAATAATTGAACTTAGTGGTTGTATAGGCTACTGGCTACAACAGTGATTGATATCTGTAGTTAAGATTAATAATTGTAAAGAGGATTACTTAATATTCTCAAGCTCTTTGCTGAAGGGAAAGCATTTCCTTTTTATCTTTTTAGTTTCATGTTTTCACATAGCTATTAAAAATTATGCACTGATAGACCAAACAAATACAGCTGCTAAACAACACCTAGCACTAAATCTTGTGCTATACTAGTCTGACTAAATAGTGGTACTTGATTACTTTTATATCACAAACATTTCCGCAAAAGATGGAACACATTTTTGTAGCAGTGGAACATGAACCCTTGGATTCACAGCGTGGTCATGTTGAGTACTAACCTCCACCTGGCTCTTGGATTCACAGCGTGGTCATGTTGAGTACTAACCTCCACCTGGCTCTTGGATTCACAGCGTGGTCATGTTGAGTACTAACCTCCACATGAACCCTTGGATTCACAGCATGGTCATGTTGAGTACTAACCTCCACATGGCTCTTGGATTCACAGCGTGGTCATGTTGAGTACTAACCTCCACATGGCTCTTGGATTCACAGCGTGGTCATGTTGAGTACTAACCTCCACATGGCTCTTGGATTCACAGCGTGGTCATGTTGAGTACTAACCTCCACATGGCTTTTTTTTTAGATTTCTTCTTGTTTGTGATTTAGTGTTTTATAGTTATTGCATATTTTAAAAATAAACCGTGTTATTCTACTGGCTTTTTTTTTTAAAAAAGTAGTTAGTCTCCTTTAATTTGTAGTTACCTCACAAATAAGGTTTTCGAATGTTTATTTCACAAAAAGAGGTTCCCAACAGAAAAAGTTTGAGAATTCCTGCAAAACATCTGCTAATAAACCATTGATATCTGATTTATTTTGCCCAGCTGCTTTTTAAAATTGTACAATTATTTGCCAGGTGATAATATTCCAGTCAATGTTAAAAAACAGTTCCTGTACCAAATAAACATACACGTTAGTTTTATAGCAATTTCAATGAGAAACGCAAGATTAACTAACAAGGTAAGAGTAAAATAGCTACACTTCGGTTGTAAAATCTTCTATATATATATATATACATGTATATATATATATGTGTGTGTGTGTGTGTGTAGTAAAGATAAAAGATTCTGACATTTGTTCATGATGTAACGTTTATGTTACTGATGTATTATATGATGATGTCATTATTAGTAGCTTCACTTCCAGAGTATGATATAAGTCTTTCCTTTTAATATATGCATGTCTATTGACCTGTGGTTATTTACAAATTAATCTTGAGTTTATATCTTTTAACTAAATATTTAATTTTATTTATTTTGCTCATTAAATGTCGTAATTATCTTAAATGTGTGTGATTTGGTTATCCTGGTTACTGGTTATTCTGAATTTTGTGTGATTCTTATCAGGGCATCATGTGTAGTCTAAGGAGATGAGTGATTAACAGAAATTGCAACGCTTTTAGTTGAACTTTTTTAATTTGGCCTTCTAGTGTTTAATCTTAAGGGCATTGATGTAAGGAACTGATAATTTCACCCTTCCATAACTAATAAAGAATATACCACAACTGCAAGTAGTTCTTTCATCATGTAGTATCCAAATTCAGGGATGTATGGAAAACACAAACCATAATATCTTGTAGTTGTAATAACACTACTAAAATTCTACCATGATTGGCATCAATATCAAACAGGAACAAAGTCTTTTTATGGATACAACAACACTGGAGCTTCAACTAAAGCATGCTTTAGGGACATAAATTATTATGTACATTCCTTGGTCCAACTAACTGTGTTTCAGCTTTAGTTGGAACAGATAACAGTGTAGTGAAGTTTGCCGTAAAATGACAGTAGTATGACACATAACCAAGGAAACTGCAAACTTCTCATTTGGTCGCAAGTTAAGGCCAACCTCACACCACTGTGATCTTTACTAGGTCAGTAGAAACACCATCTCTGCCCACAATATGATTAAGAAATTCTACCTACACATGCTTATAAGCGCATACTTCCCTGGTTTACCTTCATGCTGGTTTTTCTTATTTGCTGTAGTATGATGCTCAGGTTTTCAGCAGCAGTCTTGAATTTTTAACCAAACACCAAGACACTCAACACAGATCAGGCACATTTCCCATTATAGCTCCTTCAGAATAAGCTGCATTAGCCTCTTGAAAATGGTAGATGACCATCTTGAGTGCTTTCTTTATTCAAATTTGACTTGCAAGTGTCTGGATGGCAGATATAAAGTGTTGAACTATTGGACACCTTCCATTGGAGTAGAAACATCAGTTCAAGTTTCTGCATTCACCTGTTTAAAATTAGCACAAGATCTTGGTGGACCATCCTTCCTGATAAACACTATTGAACATAACCATGGAGTCTGAGAAGGTTTCATGATTGTAGTAGTTAGGGCTCCACTCTAGTATCTGAAGGATGTCGCTAGGCGATATGGTGCCATTAAAGACGATGATATCATAGTTCCACAAATTGTCACAAGAAGGCGCATTGCCACGATGACATAGTTCAACTAAATGTCACCAGATGGCGCACTGCTAGGCGGCCATGGCGTCATAGTTCTACAAAGTCGGACCAACATAACATGTC